GATGTTAAGTGATAGGCATGAGGTCATATTGAAGTCGGGTTATGCATTATGTATAGAGTGAAGATGAACCGACTTTGTGCGGACCTGTGTGATGCAGCGGCGTTCAAATACGTTGGGGGAGTTGGCGGTGGGGCGGGGGGACAAAGAGAGAGAGAGAAGAATAAAGGGAAGGAAAAGAGGAACGAGGCGAAATTTTCAAGTGGCCTCTGAATGTGCAGATATAAACATCAGGAGAGATGTGCTGGGTTGCCGAGGGCTACGCGATTTCTCAAATCAGCCCAACAAGCCGGGCCGCGCTGGGCCGGGCCGGGCTCTGTTGACGTCAAACGTAAAAGATGTGTCCCACGGGAACGTTGAGTTCACAGTCAATCGCCGCACCGCTCACCACCGCTCACCCAATCGACTCCACAGCCCCGACCACCGCTCGCCCGCTCGACGCTCGGTTGGGGGTTGCCAGCACCAAGCCCGGCCATGGTCGTCTTCCACAGTGCACCAACACACACGGTACGGTCCTCGTTCAATGCTGGGTCAACCCGAGGACCGGTGCTGATATCACTCGCCACTGACGGTGGCCGTGGTCGAGACGTCTTTACCCAGGTGTCGGTGAACTCATCACGACACCACCATTCACACGCACGGACGACAAAGATCCCCCGTATTGCCTTAACAGACTGTTGGGGCAAGTGCTGTTAGTGAGCAGCTGTAAAGGGGCTAGCACCACCACACACGCGGGGATGGGTGGCGAACACTATGCCTGGCCGTGAGCACCTATAAGGCCGGCACGGCTAACACGTGTACAGACACACGTGTGTGTGTGCGGTTGGTGTGTTAACATCGTCACTGGGGAGACAAAGGCGGCCGGGCGTAGCGCTGGCCACCGACCCTCTCGTGTGCTATGCTGGCCTTCATAGGTGCTACTCGCTAACAGCACTTGTCCAAAACAATCTATTAAGGCTATACTGGAGGCCTTTGTCATTGTTTTTTTTGCATCACGCACTCCCGTCCCACTCCTAACCCTCAACACCTCCCGCGCCCCCTCCCCCGTGGGCTGGAGCTCGGCTGAGTCTGCCGCCGCCACCACCACTGCCGCCGTTCGCGGGGTTTTCTGGCTTGGCACCGCCCGTGCCGGGGGCTGCTGGGCTTAGCTACGGGGAATCTATTTAAAGATTTTTGTTTTACTATTTTCTTATTTTTGTTTTAGCAGGTAAGGCCCCACTGAGCTGTGTATAGCTGTTTTTCAGAACCGACCTGGCCATCGCTAATGATAGGTCAACGAAGTGGCTTATCGCGTAGAAATGTATAGCAGCCAAATGCCCGAAACGCACGTTGTGGATTCTAAATGTGGAGGGGGGAAAACCGGAGGACCCGGAGAAAAATCCACGCGACCATAGGGAGAGAGAGAGACACCGCAAACTCCAAATATACAGCAGCAGGCGTCAGGGTCGGGATCGAACCCACGACCTCCTGTATATCAGGCGAGGTAGTTAACATCTCGCCACCACGGCACCACGCGCTTGGGATCACGTGGCGCGCTGCCTCGCCAACCGGGAACACTCCGCACATGGGGAGAAGGGGGAAAGGGGAGCTGGGGGGGGTGTGAGGTTGGCACGAATGCTTTTCTCGAGTGCGCCAGGGGAAATCCCCCTCACCCCCACCGCCCTTGGGCTTACGGAGGAGCCCGAGTGAAGGAGACTTTCACCTTCACACGGGAAGGGGGCCTGCGCAGACTCGGTAGAGTGTGGGTATTTTTTTATGTTATCAGTAGCAGCAGCCATTGCTCTATCCACTGCTGCATTAAGGTGTCTCCTCGTCGTTGTGATCTATCGCGCAAGACTGAGTTACACGGGCATCTCAAGGTGCCATTGCATTTAGAGTTGATTTTTTTTATCCACGAAATTCGACACATGTATCCTGAGCTGAAGAATCCATATTAACGGACGGGGGGGAGTGGGGAAAGTAGTGCCGCAGCCCCATTACTGCGTGGATCATCGTTCACGTGAATGGATCTCGAAGGTAGTTAATGCGATATCCGCTTCCCTGCGCCCTTCTCGAGCACAAAGGGTTGCACTCCCCTGCCGAGAGGTGCTGATGGTTGCGTCTTCCCGTGACGACGCAGCGACGCCCACAGAAGAGTCGGGAAAGGAGAGGAACGGCGCGTGGATATTGCACGCGGTTCACCTCGACGGCTGTGTGAGTGAGTGAGTGTATATAGGGGAGCGGTGGTGCAGTGGTTAGCGCGCTGCGCTACGAACCTGGCGACTCGGGTTCGATTCCCGCTCACGGCCAGCAGCAGTGACGATTATCTGAACCGGTCCTAGGCCTTCCCTAGGTCGACTCAGCCTCAAATGAGTACCTGGTGCGGTGTGCAAACATCGCCACTGGGGAGACAAAGGCGGTCGGGCGTGGTTCTGGCAACCCATCCCCTCGTGTACCGTTCCGGCCTTCATAGGTGCTCGCTAACAGCACTTGCCCCTACAGTCTGTTAAGGCTACACGGGGGATCTTTGTATCTTTGTTGTGTGTGAGTGAGTGTGTGTGAGTGTGTCAGTGTGTGTATGTGAGTGAGTGTATGTGAGTGAGTGTGTGTGAGTGAGTGTGTGTGAGTGAGTGTGAGTGAGTGTGTGTGTGTGTATGTGAGTGAGTGTGTGTGTATGTGAGTGTGTGTGAGTGAGTGTGTGTGTATGTGAGTGTGTGTGAGTGAGTGTGTGTGTATGTGTGTGTATGTGAGTGTGTGTATGTGAGTGAGTGTGTGAGTGAGTGTGTGTGAGTGAGTGTGAGTGTGTGTGAGTGAGTGTGTGAGTGTGCAGGCGGTAGCAACTGCACAGGGCGGGCGGGTGGGGGGGGGTCTAAAGATCCGCACTGGAGTGAGATCGATGATATGGAAATTGAACGGAGAGCGCCCTCGTTCCATTCCTTGCACCAGGCGGCCATGCCAACGAAGCGCCGCCTCACCGTCCCCTGAGTCGTATTCGTGGTGTCCGCTTTACGATATGTTTACCTGCTTTAGAAGTTCAATGGACTTGGTGGAAAGCCGCACTTGTAAAAGAAGATTTTTTTTTACGGCATTACACTTTTTAAAAAGTTTGTAAAGTGTATAATTCTATTTTAATGGGGCTAGGCAATAACATTTACGAGGTATATATATATAACATTTATTTATACAAAAGTCATGAAGCTATGTAATGCATTTATACAAAAGTGATGAAGCCACCGTGCGTACGGTCGGAGTGGTCGGCCTTCAATGATTGTTGATTGTAGATTCTCCACGTGAGCTCTATCTCCCGGTCACGTCTCCCTGAGCTTAGCGGTGAAGATTGCACATTCCGACGGTGTTGGCGAGAAGTCCCATCGCACAACCGCTGTTGACTTCCGCACGAGGTGGTACCTATTTTATCCAATTTGCAGATATGATAGGCTGACTTGACCCCTCGCTCCACCCTGACGTGTGTGCGTGTCTCTTTGTCACATCTAGACACACTGTGAGTGTCTCTTAGCCACATCTAGACACGCTGTGGGTGTCTCTTAGTCACATCTAGCCACACTGTGGGTGTCTCTTAGTCACATCTAGACACGCTGTGGGTGTCTCTTAGTCACATCTAGACACACTGTGAGTGTCTCTTAGCCACATCTAGACACGCTGTGGGTGTCTCTTAGTCACATCTAGCCACACTGTGGGTGTCTGTTAGTCACATCTAGACACGCTGTGGGTGTCTCTTAGTCACATGTAGCCACACTGTGGGTGTCTGTTAGTCACATCTAGACACGCTGTGGGTGTCTCTTAGCCACATCTAGGCTTGCGTGCGAGTGTCCGACACCCCGAGCAGCTGTGCCCGCTGCCCCACGACCACCCAACGGGGAACGAAATCAAGACGGGACGCGCGCGTTGAGATGCTCAATACGGGACGCGCGTGCCATTCAATCACTGTAACGCGTGGCTGTTGCAGATGCCTGTAAAGAGGCACGCGATATGAAATTATGAAAAACAAAAATTGGGTTTACCCTCACCCCACCCCTTTGCCTTACTGGCCGTGTGTGTGGTGCATCGCAGTTTACCAATTCAATAATAATAATAACGACGCATTAGGGTCATTGAATAGCAATGCACCAAACAGCAGCGTCACACTTGCTGAGTGACGTTTGCCCTGGTTTGTTCTCACCTGTACATTGTTGTTGTTGTTGTGATTGTGTCTGTGGAGCGTGTGGGTGTGTGCAGCGGTTAGCGCGCTGCCCAACGAAGCCGGTGAGCCGAGTTGGACTCCCGGCCATAGCCAACACCAGTGACGATTATCAAATGAGTACCTGGTGCGATTATGCAAAATATCGCCACTTGGGAGACAAAGGCGGCCGGGCGCGGTGCTGCCCAACTGCTTCCCCCCCCCCCCCCCGTGTGCCGTGCCGGCCTTCATAGGTGCTCGCTAACAGCGTTTGACCGAGCAGTCTGGTACAGGCTATACGGGGGATCTTTGTATTAGTGTATTCGTTTGCATGTGAGTGCAGGTAGGTGTGTGCACGTGTCTTGGTACGAGTGTGCGCGCGTGTGTGCGCGTGTATTGCTTCAAGTGGAGTAACACAAGTTCGATTCCTACACCAGCACAGCACCCATTACCTATTAAATTCCGAACATTGCCTGAAACGCCCAAACACAAAGCCACCTATACATAATTTTTATTTTTTATTTTACCAGGCAAGTCCCACTGAGCTACGTAGCTCTTTTTCAGAAGCGACCTGGCCGCAAATGATAGCTCAACCAAGTGGCTCGTCACGTGGACATTTGCAACAGCAAAACGCTCCGAACGCACATCTCTAAATGTGGAGCGAAAACCCGAAAGTTCCCGGAGAAAAATCCATGCGGCCACGGAGAGCAGACGCCAAACTTCCAAATATACAGTCGTCGTCAGAGTCGGGATGGAACCCACGATCTCCTGCATACCCGGACCGGTAGTTAACATCCCGCAACCGTGGTGTCCACCTGACCCCCCCCCCTCCCCACCACCACCACAGTTTGAGATCCGGCAGCTGCGCGCACACCTGGCGCGGCAGGAGAGCCTGGCGGGCGCCGAGTCGGGGGAGGGCAAGTCGACACCCACTCACCTGGCCGACGCCGTCACCATGGCGCCCGGCTCCGAGGCGGACGACGAGGACGAGGATGAGGGCATCCTCGACATGCGGCGTCAGCGCTCGCTCCGCCGCAAAGGTGGGTGGGGGTGGTGGCGTGCGTGGGTGCGTGCATGTGTGTGAGTTGGTGGGTGCTTGGGTGCGTGCATGTGTGTGAGTTGGTGCATGTGTTGGTGCGTGCGGGCGCTCATTTGTGTGTGGGGGCGGTGGCACGGCCGTTCTGGTGAAGAATCCACGGCAGCTCAGACGGAGGAAGTTGACATCCTCCTGCCTGTAGTCGTCTCCAAGCGGGGAGGGGTCGCGAGCGGCTCATGGAAGCGGGGCAACGGAAGCTCGCAGGCCCCGTGGGACAGCGCCGGCGATGGCGGCTGGTGGCGTGAGGAGGAGGGGGGGCATGGGGGAGAGGTTGGGCCCAAGCGTGATCCGGGGGGGGGAAGGGAGCACCCGGACGTTCTTGCAAGCGAGCATCATTATCTTATCTTATAGTTTGCATTTACTTTATTTTGTTCGCCGGACGGAGCCCGCTCCCTTGCTCGCTCACGAGCCCCCCGTCACCTGCCCCGCTGAGTAAACCATGGCTACCTTGACGTACGCGCTCGTGTGCGGCCCTTTTGTAAAGTAAATCCTCCGCTGGATGAGGGCTTCCCCCAGCGCCGCGCGATGGTCACCGGGGGTGGGGTCATTCGCCGAATTCTCCCCCCGCGCCGATCGCTGCCGCCGGTCGGTGTCGGCGGCAGCGCTTGAGACGTTGCGGCGTAGTAGTACAAGTGCACTCGCCTCCGCTCCGCTGACCCCACGTAGTTCCCTAGCCGCCTGTTTTTTTTTTACTTTTACATTACTTTACGTGCTGTCCAGGCTCTGGTACCTGCTTAGCTTCCGAGACGTGATGGGCGACGCGGGGCAAGGGCGGTGGGGGGCGTCACGTCAGCGAGACCAGTCGCCGTTCGTCGTTCCAAAACCCGCTTCGTCGATGCCCTAAATTACGGCATAATTTCAACAAAAGACAAATGGGGGTGCGTGGGAGGTGGCGTTGGTAGTGGAGGGGGGGGGTGATGCTAAATTGCAAGTTGTAGTGGCCATCACATGCGCACGCAGGCATGGCACGCGCACGCGCGCGTGATCATTCCGGCTTCGTATCGGTGTCCAAAGCGATTGGCGAAGTCGCGCTCCGCCTGGAGCAGGACGAGGACGACGACGAGGAGGACGAGGAGGACGACAAACGGTGGCGGCGCGCCCCGTTGCCCGGGCAACGCATTTCGACTGCCTCGCTGTGTGACCACCCAGTATTCTCATTACAAAAAAAGATGCATTCCACGCCGCGAGAGTGCCGAAATTAGAAACTTGCTCGGAGGCGTCTCTCAACATTGCAAAACGATGAGTACAATTTAAATCAAATAATAATAATAATTGCCCGGGTTTTTTTGGCACCTTTTTTTAATTACTTCACCCTTATCTCGAATCGGCGAGCGGGGGGGGCGGGGCGGGCGTGAGGCTGCGGGGGGGGGGCTCCAGCACTCTCTATCTCTCTCTGCGCTCGCCACCAACTGCCGCCCAAATTTCACTCGCGAACAGAAAGGTGCTCTCCGGCAATGATGGAAGCGCCTGTTTACCGCCAGTCCCCATCCCGTCACGTGACTTGCGCTCTCTCCTCCGTTTGAATCCGCTCAGGAGTGTCGACGGTGGACGACATGAATAACTACGTGAACCAGTACTACACTCACCACGACGACGGAGGTACGTGGTGTCGCTCGGTCTCGTGCGCCCGCCCAGACGGCTCCCCGACACATTCCATTGTTTCCACTGGCACATCCGAGCCGAGCCGATGCAGCGCGGAGCCCTCACGGTGTAGACACTGTTTTTATTTTCCTCCAGCTATCTTCCTTGCCGAGCTGGAGCGCGATACGCCCGCTGCCTTACAAGTCGTCTGTGTCCGGCTAGGGGCAGAGCAGGCCCAGGCGCGTTGTTCATCACCGTGGGCGCCACATGGCCTGATGAACTGGAGGTCGTGGGTTCGTTCCCGGCCCTGATGCCTGCTGTGCATTTAGAGTTTGCATGTCTTTCTTCGCGTGGTCACGTGGATTTTTCTCCGGGTCCTCTGATGTTTCCCTCCACATTTAGAATCAATGTGCATATCGGGTACGTGCGGCTGCGATAGATTCCCACGTGATGATAAGCCCACTTCGTTGAGCTATCGTTTGTGATAGCCCGGTCGCTTCTGAAAATGAGCTATTTCGCTCAGTGGACCTTACCTGGTAAAGTAAAAATGAAAATAGTAAAAATAAATAGTAACATAACGTCCACGTGTCACTTGTGTGAGATGCAGACGTCAAACGCTCGTTGTAGCAGGCTGGCACGGCTCGGCATGACCCCGGCACGGTTCAGTTGTGCGGTAGAACACAGGCGTTTGTTGTTCAGCGATCGTCGCGCCTGCTGGTCCTCTTTGAGTTTTGGAGAGAATCCAGTCCACACTTTCCACCAACAAATGTTCGAGTCTTTCTGTCACCTCCACTACTTTCAATCGCATTTTGGCAGAGTCCACACGCATACCCACGCACCAGCCTTGCTAATGATCTTTTCCCTGCGCGTGTGCGTGTGCTCCCGTGCACTTGGCACCAAGTCTTGTCAAATAAAGCTCCTTGGAAAACCAATAAAACTTATGACACCATAAACTATGACGAATTGCTGTCACAAATAGGATCATTGCCGTATTTGTTGGAATTTGAAGTTTACGAACAGTTTAAAAATCACTCGCGAGGGTTTCCCACCCCCACCACCACCCCCATGGCATCAGGAGTGAAATAAAACGCTCGCCAGATTTATTCGGGGAAATTAAAAAGCTCAAACGAGATTTCAACACCATTAAGAACAATTCCCGCGGTCTTTGGAATCCGCACTCCACTCGCAAAAAAAAACCCGCACGACTGCCACCTCCCTCCCTCTGCTCCCTCTGTCTCCACCTTGCGCCAGCACGAACCATCGCAAATAAAGACAAAGATCCCCCATATAGCTTTAACAGACTATTGGAGCAAGTGCTGTTAGCGAGCACCTATGAGCGGGTGGGTGGCCAGCACCACGCCTGACCGCCTTTGTATCCCCAGTAGCAATGTATACACACCACAGCCAGGTACTAATTTGAGGCTGAGTCGACCTCGGGAAGGCCCGGTTCAGATAAGTCCTTACTGGCATTGGCCGTGAGCGAGAATCGAACTCGGGTGGCCGGGGTTCGTAGCCGTTGCACAACCGCACGAAAGCACGTGTACGCACACCCCACCTCCATTACCCGTGTATGCTAATAGCGTGCCTTGCAGCGACAGCTGGGGCGAGGGGGCTGCGAGCCCCCCCCCCCCCGTACCCCGCTAGGCGGCAGTGGTTGGGGGGGCGCGCTTGCCCTCGCTTCAATCCCGCCGCCAACTTCACCGCAGCGTAAATCTTGTCTCCGGCACATGCCCGGCGGCAATATTCCTGCGAGATGGCTGAAACAAATTTAATAATGTCTTAAGCCCCACAGCCCGACTGGGGCAATGCCCAGGCGTGAGATTACGCGGCCGTGGAATAAGTCAGCCGTTTCGCTCCCCTCCACCTCCTCCTCCTCCTGGTTTTTTTCACCGGCAACGTTGGCCGTTATTACTTACAGCGAGCGCAGGTGCCGTAAAATCACATTGCTCTTTGTTAAACTGTTGCGAACCGTAAAAAATATATATATACTGTGTTGTTTATTTTATTTTACAACAAAGGTGTGCGCAATCGACTGCAGTGAAATTGGACGAGGAGCAGGTGTTTTGGCCGACAGCGGTGGAGCACGTGGTCCGGTTATCGGGATTAATGATGGATGTCATTATTGCCATGCTTTCAGATTTCACCTCTCGACGTCCGTACATAAAATCCCCTCGACAGGTACACGAGTGGGTATGCGTGGGGAGTGGTGGAGTGGCGGTTGGCGCGCTGCACTCAAAGAGCCCAACCACCTGAGTTCGATTCCAAGCCACGGGTAATGCCAGGGGCAAGAGGAATATTAACCTGCCCTGCGTCTCCCCTGGAACAGCCCAGCCTTAACCGAGTACCTGCTTGCAGTGGTGGCCGGCCATTGGTGCTCGCCGTACCACAGCATTAAATGCCGTGCTGGCGTCAATAGGTGCTCGCTAACAACGTTTGCCCCCAGACAGTCTACAGGACTCGGTGGAGAGTATTTCACCGAGTGATTATTTCCCGCACCTCCGATTAGGACGGTTGGCTCCGTACTGTGCGGAAGGAGTTCAACATACGTACGTAGATATAATGATTCGCACACTTCCATTATGAGCCACCGTTGAATCGTATTCATCCTCTGGGCTATGCGTATCGGTGAAACGCGCGATCTGTGTCTTTACCGAACCTCTCCAATGTTAAGACAAGCAGCCTCCTGCAAGCACGCAGGCAGGCAATGGCATCGACTCCCTCTCAAGCGGGGATAGTTTGGCTGTTACACGACGAACGTTACTCGTGGCGCCAGGGCAGGTGGGAGAACCTCCATTGTTCGTGGGGGACCAGAGGTCATTTGAAGGGATCTCAGAGGTAGCTCTGTGATACCCGATTCCACGGGCCATTCTCTGCGAAAAAAATAGCTTCACAGCTCATCGGATTTCTCCAGGAATAAATAAAGATTCCGGTTCTCAAGGGTCTCTCTGCTCTGCGAAAAGATTACTCGTCTCTTGACGCGCGGCTGACCGCGCAAACAACATACACGACCGCGTATGTGTGTGTGTGTATATACAGGGTGCTTCAAAAAAATGTTACCTATTACATGGCAAAAGAATGGATAATAATATAGTGTAACATGATAACAAATGCATGTTAATAGCTTCAAAAAGTCAAGGCGTGCCTGGAATCTTCTCCAGGGGGTCTCCAGAGCCCGACGGCAGCACATTTCTCGTGGTGTTGTTGCAAATTCTCGGAAGTGTTCACATTTTTTTTAAGCACCCTGTATATTGCACGTCCTCTGAGTCAAGGGTCATTTTTTGTTTCTAACAATTTGGGGTGAGAAAGTTGATTCAGCCTGTGCTTTCACACGACTGCCAACATAGCCTCTGGCATCGCTGCTGAGTGTGTTGGCAGTGGAACCCACATGGCACAATGAGCATAGGTTTGCGTAAAATTATTTTATATGTATGTTGAACTTCTTTCGTACCGCACATAGCCATCCGTACTAACCCAGAGGTGCGAAAATATACTTATGAAACATATATTTGAAAGTAAAAATTCTAACCGGGTGCTGGCGTGGGGAACGTCCGTGCTGCACGTTGTTCTGTCCAGAAGGAGGTCACCGGGACATCCAGCAGGGAGTGTCGGGGCCCTCGGCGGCCACCATCGACATCGACGTCCACCAGCCCATGGGGCCGCGCACCACCACCTCGAGCTACGTGCAGGTGGACGTGCTGCACTACGGCTTCGACGGCCAGGACTCGGCGGCCGAGGGCGCCGACCAGGGCCAGCCGCCGGGCCACGGGCAGCAGGGCCGCTCGCAGATGCCCAACAACAGCGGTGGCCAGGGCCAGGGCCAGTTCCAGTCGCAGTTCATGGGCCACGTGCCGACGGAGCAGATGGGCGGCCAGAACATGGGCCAGCTGCCCTTCCAGATCACCGGGCAGATCCCCAGCCGCATGTCGGACCCGAGCGCCGGGTCGAGGATGGGCGACCCCATGGTGGACAGGATGGGCGACCGCATGGGCGAGGACGACCCGAGCCAGATGGCCTTCCACATCACGGGCCAGGTGCACAACCGCATCACGGAGCCGTACCTGAGCCAGGATCAGACGCACGCCTCCTACCCGATAATGGGCCAGTTCCCCAACAGGATTTCCGAGCAGATGCCGGAGCAGGACGTGGGCCACGGCCTGCGGCAGGCGCCGTACCAGATAACGGGCCAGGCCCCGAACAGGCTTTCGGATCCACTGCTGGACCAAGACTCGAGGCAGGCTCCGGGTCAGCCCCAGTACCAGATCATGGGCCAGATCCCGAACCGCATGGGTGGCGCCGACATTCTGGGCCAGAGCTCGTGCAGCGCTTCGCCGCCGTCCGCCCAGCACGAGAAGCTGAACGCGGGCCGGTCGGTGCCCATCTCCACGGGCAACGGCTCGTCGGGCCCGCAGGGCGGCGGCGGCGGCAAGGAGGCCGAGGCGACGGCCGGCTCGTCGGGCACGGCCACCACGACGTACCGCGAGACCTACAAGGTGATCTCGCTGGAGCACCGCAACCTGATCTTCAGCTCGGAGGACACGGCATCCGTGACGGCAGAGCCCAACCCGCACGCCCACCAGCACGCGGGCCACCAGCACGCGGGCCACCAGCACTCCGGGCACCAGCACGCGGCGTCGCAGGGGGCGTCGCGCGGCACGCCGGCGGGCGGCTCGCCGCTGCACGGGGAGCGGGCGTACCGCGGGTCGCGCGCCTCCTCCGTGTACCGCTCGGAGCGCTTCGGCGGCTCGGGCAGCGTGCTCGACTCGGCGTCGGAGATCGGCTCGGACGCCCCGTCGGCGGCGGCGGCGCTGCTCAGCTCGGCGCTGGAGGGGAGGCCCATCCTGGAGCAGGAGGTGTGCATCGTGAAGATGCGGACGTACCAGGCGCCGCTGCCGCTGCCCGGCGAGAACCCGGCCATCAGCCTGGCCAGCCTCTACAAGGCCATGGAGGAGAGCGGGGACTTCTCGAGCCTCAACCACTCGTAACCCCCCGCCCCGCGACCGCTGGCAGCTACGTTAAAACAAGCGCAAACGCGTGCCCCCGACGGTACGACCCGAAAATCCGGAGCATCAGGGAACTATTTTTCGGCGGAGACGCGAGCTCCACGCTTTGCCGCCCCCCCCCCCCCCGCGCGCGCGTGGTTTTTGATCGCTCGCCGCGGTGACTCGGTGGGGGGGGGGGCGAGGTGGGGGGAGGCCGGCGCCGTTGCCCCCCCTCCTCCACCACGGCGTGCGCGCCGCTACCAGCGCCACGGCACGAGCGGTGCCCTCGCGTTTCCACGGCAACCCTTGCATTGAGTGCTCTATTTTTGGACTCGACAGTGACACTACTCTGCACTTCTGCCTTGTTACACGAAATGCAAGGAGATTACTGGTGTCTCTTGATCAAAGCGACAATCAAGTTCCAAAATATTTTTTCACAACTTTTACAACTACTAATTAATCGCTGGTGAAGAAGCTTGACGACGCGAGGTTAGGAAGAGTTTGACGACATTAATGAAGCCAGCCCTACTCCAAAAGCGATTTGAAAATGTACCGTTGATTTAATTTGTTTACTTTGAATTAGCGAAGCTGCTAATGGGGTTATGAGGCCAACGAGGATTGTACGATTCTAAAAGGTAAACGCAGCCAGCCACGTAAATATCCCCCCCCCCAACTCCACTCCCCCCTTCCCCCTCATCTCATCCCATCCGACCCAAACCCCCGTCCCTCCCTGGAGCTGTCCACCCCTGCAGCTCGCTCCACGCCCAACAAGGGGTGGGTGTCGAACGGTCGATAGCGAGACATCACAAGAAGGCAGCTTCACCTGTGTAACGACAGGTTTAATCAGACACCAGGAGCTATCTCTCTCTCTCTCCTCTTTGGCTTTTTAAAGAGGACATTTTGTGACCGCTTTTTACCATGCAATGCACACAAACGCCGGTTTATATCGCAAAAAGCAAGTTTCGTTTTCAAATCTCCGAGTTTGGAGCAAGAGTTTTTTCTCACTAATAAAAACACGGACGAGCTTTATATATATATATCTCAAAAAAGTCAAATGACACACACACACACGACACACACACACACGCACGCGACTTGGCGCTGTTTCCATGTAACAGTCGCATGTATACGAAAGAGCTGCAAAGCCATTCAGGCGAGGGATCTTGGACGTGCGGCTATTTTGTCGGTCTCTCCGAGCCAAACTCGGTTCGCTGCCAGGACAGTGACGGGGCACACGCGCGCGTGGTCCAGGAGAAGGGGGCCCCCCCTCCGCCTCCCCACCACCCACCAACGCTCCGACACCCAACTCATCAGCCGGTCCCACCGACCACGCGGTTGGACCGGGTGATGGAGAGGGTTGCCGAGGGCCGGGACGGATGGCGAGGTGGGGGCTTCATCGCTCGACGTTGCTGCGGCACGCGAAGTAGGCATCGGACGTGAAGCCATTGCCATCGTCACAAGGTTGCGTTTTTAGTCCCGCTCTCTTGCAAAAGCTCCTCCTCTGCATCCCCCGTCTCCACCCTCGCCCCCCGTTGGATTCCCAACAAAGTCGCGGCTGCTGAGGAAGTTCAATTGTTGCGTCTGTAGCCACGGTGGGATCACGTTGTGGGGGAGGGGGGCAGCATGGCCTTGCATTTTCGTTTCATTTGTGTTTCTTAGCCAAACGGCCAAACTGCACCTAACATGCGTGTCTTGCCCCCCCCCCCAACCCCCTGTGACCTCCTAACGATGGTATCGTTTTTTGGTTTGCCCAGGAGAGTCTCGCCGAGACTCAAGACTCGATTTTCCATGAGACTTGCTTTCGGATGTTTGGCCAATTATTCTTTCTCTGAATAATTATATATTTTTGGGAAGTGAGAGGGAACCGGATTGCCCCGGAGGAAACCCACCACACGGATGAGGGCATGACACTCAAGCTCCACACAGATGGGTCAGAAACCTGCTTGCTGTACTGCCTCTTAGAGGCACCACCATTATAGCTCTGCACACAGGTGTATCGTGCAGTCTCCAATTCCGTTCCGCTTTTATATCAAGGATCGCGACTCATTAGTTTGTGTCTGTTTCACCTCATTTATTTCCGTTGTCTCCTCTTCCCACACACGGCACGACCCCACCAGCCCCAACGCCATCCAAAGCAGTCCTCTCCTCTTTCACCCCCCCCCCTCCCCCAACCAACATCTTCATCTTCTGTAAATATTCGTCGGTCCTTCTGTGCGGAAGAGACGGACAGCCGTGCGCGCGTGCGGGCGGGCGGGCGTGCGGGCGGGCGGAAGCAGGTGACGTATCCCGGGTGTCACGGGACGGCGTCTCCGTCTGCCCGTCGCGGTTGTCGTCGTGAAACAGGGTTAGCCGGGACATGTCCCCCGGCACGGTGCCGCCCGCCGCACCACCAGCTGCATAGCAGGAGGGCGCGATCGCAAAGGTGCATGTGATGATGATGATGACGACGCCGAAGGGCATGCCATCCCATTGAGCAGAGCCTCACCCTGGCCATCCCCACCCACCCCGGCTGGTTTAAAATGCTTACATTGTCTGCGCTTTACTTTAACGAACTCTTTAAGTAACGAGTAAGAGCTTGTTTCTTTCCAAACGACGAATCCCGTCCCCCTCCACACACAGTTGCACTTGCTTTAACTTACTTAGCTTATATGGAATTTAATTTTTTCTAAGCATTGTACCATTATCGGAGTATAAGAGTATAAGTGTTAAACGACAGCACAGTAAATATACGTAATAAAAAAAACATTACTATAATTTGAAAAAAAGATTCAAATATATATTTAAAAAAATAAACAAAAATATATTATTATAATTTTTTTATTTACGAGATGGGTAACGTGTGACATTCTGAAATGGGGCCCCGGGCCCCTGGAGGGTGCACGGTGGTTTACATTACGACTTTAACTTTTAAAACTTGCGCAAATCGTTCGGCCCGATTGCTCGCTCGCCCAATTGCTCGCTCGCCCGATCAGCTCGCTCGCTCGCCCGATCACTCGCTCAGTTGCTCGCTTGATCGATCGCTCCCCCGATTCGCTCGCTCGCCCGATCGCGACGGTGAACGCGACGCGCCGGGCGCAATTGGCACGGGGAGGTGAGTTGGCGTGCAACGTACGCCTGTTGGCTTTCAGACGCTCGCGTTTAAAAAATAAATTCACACTTAAATGGAAGACGGCCAGAGAGAACGATGAAAATGACTGGAAAAGAGGAGGCGGGGGAGGGGTTGGGGGTGGGGGGGGTTGCCCTCCGGCCCGGTTCCTGTGGGAGGTCACGGTGGTCAGAATTGTGGCCGGCACGGGAGGTGGCACAAGCGAGACAACTCCGGCTGCCGCAGACGAACACGTTTTATCGGACGTTTCAAGCCAACACTATCGTTCTTTTTAGTTTGTTTCTAAAGCACTAACTCTTACACTCTCATGTACAGTATTTTGAATTAGAGAAGACATTATTATACCCTGATCACGAGCAAGACATTGTATAAATTTTGTGCACCTAAAATTAAGCCATCTCCCTCCTATGCGTTTGACATTGTACCAAGGTATTATGGCATATGTTAACATTTGTGTATGACATTAAAAGTAGGTGTATCCAATTTTTAGGTATGTTGTCTTTAGCATTTAGACATGTCTCTTAAACTGAACGATATTTTCTGAATAATTTATTTGATGTACCATGAAGGAATGAAAGTATTTAAAAAAAATAAAAATTATAAAAAACCAAAAAACTACAAAAAACGAACTAAAGGAAAAAAAAGAGATAAAGTTACCATATAGTTTCCTACTATACATTCCTTACACTATTGTATTATTTATATAAAAAAATTAATAAATCATTATTATACAATAGGTTACAGTTGTGCCAAAAACATTTCTGCACATCACCCCATATGCCAATATTTTCAAGCTCTTGTGTGAACCATGCATGAGTCATCTTGTTAAACCACCTTTTCTAAATAAATCGGTTCAGAAAAAGGCCTCTTGCATACTCGCACAAACGTGTCTTTATGTTTAAATCATTGCTCTCGCCAGCCTCGCGATGCAGACTGCATACACCATGAGTCCCCCATCCACGTCTTGGTGAAAATGATAATTTTTCCTCATCCTGATGCCTCCCTCCATCGTCACCGGCGACGAGGGCTTATTGTCCATTTCGTCGATCTGGCCCCTTGTACGTTAACAAGATCGTGACACTTGTAATAATCTGGACTCAAATTAATCACGTCCATTTCGCCTAGATGACGATATTAGTTGTGTTTAAAGTAACATAAAAAAAATCGTAACGGGTGGAGCTACCGTGACAGGGCTACAGTCTCCCACGCATCTTCATTGGAATTAAGGACAAGCCAGAATCAGATTCTTGATTTAGACTGGAGGAATCCGATAAGCTACGAAGCTTTTTCACAGAAGCCACAGGGAGTGTGCGATTGTGGTCATGCAACCTAAACTGTGGTCCCCACAGTAAACCACTAGTCTGTGCTCCTTCAGCGGAGGAACAGGAAAACGACAAAATATCTTCTGAAGCCCCCTCGTCTAGCAGACATCGACATCTAGCTCATGCACAAGAATATGACTCAATTATTTTTTATATCCCAGTACACATGCAACATTGGGTCAATGTTGTTGGCATGTGCTTGGAGTAGCTGGACGACGAATGTTCCAGCAATGTTCTATCTTTACAGGGGATAGCATCGTTATATATATTCAGTGCATTTTTTTCCCGTGCGAATTGTAATCAAGTGCAAGACTGTTGGAACCACGTCAAGGTTGGGTTGATGCCATCGGTGGGGAACCTTTTTCTTACCGAGGGCCGAATAGGACTTAAAAAAAAACTTTTGCTTGCGAACCAAACCTTGCCACACTCATTTCCTTCATTTTCCTGCACCTCCGATTAGCACAGTTGGGTACGTACGGTGCAAAAGAAGTTCAACATACAGTATATGCACTTGTCACCGTGCGATGACGAGAACACAAGGGAGAGCATTTGTGTATAAAATATATAATACACTTTAACACAAATAATTATTCTGAATAAACAAAAATGTAAAGGGACAATAAAAAAATGAAAAGTACAAAACGTGTTCCGAGTTTTTAAATTTGCTAATATAAATAAATTATCACATTCTATTAAAGTAGATGGTGAAAATGCAGTGAAATTTGGCAACTGTCAAAAATTCTCGATCTGAAGCTTTCGTGACTGCAAGGATTCATACTCTTGGGTTTTTTGTCAAAAATTCACCAAAAAGAACAAACCAATTACCTGCGTCTCGACAAATAATGATTCACTGTTTACTTTTCATACTACTTAGCAATGTATTAGACATTTATTAACTTCAATATTTCCTGAATTAATTCCAATCAAGCATTTAACAATCTGGCAATTCGGCACCTGGCCTGCAAACGGGCATTCGTCTGGCAGTAGGGGGTGATGATTGCTATGCATAATCCCAATTGAGTAATTTGCGGTGCAATTTTACGCATTTTCCAAATCTGGATGATGGAAAGTTTCGTATCGACTATCAATTCATCTCGAAACCTGGGCTATTGTGAAATACCGCTCGTGCATCTTGCAACCAATCTTACTCGCCCGCTACCGCGCTGTCAAGAGAGCCGTTTTAAAAAGTTCCGGAAAAAAATAATTTACATAATTGGTCCTTGGGCGACGGGACGTCGACCAAGCGAGTGAGCGTATGGCTTGCGTCGTGTAAATTTACTTAAACAAATGTAATTGATATGCTGCACGTGCTTGTGTGTGTATATATATGCAGTATTATGCATTTGCATTTCAAAGAGAAGACATACTACTTGTTTGAAAGAGCCCTCCTCAGCCCAGGCTTCCCATCCTGCACCACAAGGCTGAAAGAGAATGGCTGCCAAGTCTGTTTATTTGCTGTTCAAAGCTGCACCTCTGCTTTCTGTCAACAAAGGAACGAGGCCTCCATTGGGAACTGAATTCAAGCCAAGTGCTGTTATTATTTAATGGGTGTCCTTCAAACATCTACTCCAGGGTGGTGGAAATAAGACCGGACACCATGGCCTTTGGTGCAAAGTACATAATATATAGTGCTTAGACCCAGTAAAACTACTCCCCCCGCCCCCCCCCCCCGAGAAGTTTAAGTGAGTAAATTATACAAATCACACGTTTCAATGAATGTGAACAAATAATAATGACGTTTGAGAGTCGATCCCCCGTGTATGCGTGGTGGGTGTTCTCTGGGATACGCCAGTGTCCTCTCACAACATTGGAAGCCAAAAAACACTCATGAATCAAAAATTGTCCAAACATCCCAATGTAGGGGGCAGCCTCCTGCAAATAAAGTCTCGAGGTTGTCTCGGTGAGCATGCGAGCACGGGGAGGGGGGCAGACAATAACGTCATATTTTCGAGCAAGGAGGAATTGCAAATGTAATGGCGTCACATTTGCAGGTACGACACTCGCGTTTGCTTCGCAAACACTGCAGCTGCTTCCAGGTAGCAGCCCGGTTTTTTTTTCCCAGCGACATGAAAAAGCGCCATACGAAGGTGGCTGAGCACTCCCCCCCCCCCAAAACCCTCCTTTTCATAATCAAGTTATTGACTGTCGTTCTCCCCCCCGGCTCCCCTCCCCCACTAGGGTTTTCTATGCCGTCGCCGTCTTTAAACAAGGTCATGTTACAGGGTAGATATGAAGTTCTGCCGAGCATCCATTTTGTATGACTGCAGTAGCTTAGTGCTCTCATGTTCCGATCCTACTGCATACTGCATAGCCTGCTGTTGTAGTTCTTAGTTCCTTTGTCACAGATTGTTTTTTTTTCTCTCTACACATCTTTTCTGATCACAACACTCCTCGTTCCTCTTCCAATTCACACCATGCTTTTTGTACGGTGTCGTGTCAAGACGATTTAGAATTGTGAATTTCAAGTTCAAGTTTCAAGTTTATTGTTTAACAAGGTGAGAACTCCAGATGCCAGGATCATTTCATTTGCAAGGGTGACCTGGGTCACCAATACCATACAAAATACAGTTGAAGCAAATAGAAATTTAACTAAAAACTGTACCACGAGCAATCAAAAACATTGCACAAACATATCAATGTAAAATCAAAGGTAGATGTAAAATTCCCTGCAACACAAGGCGGCTTGGGGCAGATTCTTTTCATACTGATCATGGTAAAAATAACAAACATTCAGATACAAAAACGTGCAATATTCAACAGAAACATGGTAACGATGTAAACAGACGAGGATATATCCAACTGAGACCACAATGTAATTTTAATTTCTTGGCGCACCGATGCGCAAGCATTCTTTTGTCCTGGCTGCAGAATGTCCGCTCGCCGCTTCACGCAAATGCCGGCTACTCAAAGCGAAAATAATCACGTAAAGGGGCAAGCGCCCGGCGCAAGGGTTCGTATGCCAGGTGCCAGCTGTTTTTCAGATCCTCCTGCCAGGATTCTTGTGGCTCCAGCTCCAGGTCTCCGTAGAAGTTACAAATCCTGGCGCAGCAGCAGGAACAGCAATTTTTTATTTCCTATATCAGAGTGGACAGTGGTGGATCTGGGTGGAGGGCTATTGCCCCCCCTCCTCCCGTGCCGCTGTCCGAATGATATTTTACTGATATTTACCAGAAAAAATACTTTCAATGTTTATTATTATTGATGTAGGGTCCTATTTTCTTTAAATGAACATTCTTTTGGATCTCTCCCCCCCCCCCCGCTGGGATGTTTCTAGATCCACCGCAGTGTAATAATGTTGAAACATTAAGATTTTTTCCTCCAAATTCCAAGCTAAACATTCAAATTGTTCATCCAAATTTTCATCATTCACCATGGGACAATCGACTGTTGGGAAAAAAGGCCCCCTCCCCCAAACCGGCAGCACATCTCACAACATGCAATGTCAAAAAACCAACCCAGCACAACTCGAGCTGATTTCATCATTATTCTTGTTCATTATATCACAGGACCACGAGAAATGGTGGCAGCTTGTGGAGGCCTTCAAACAACAGTTGATTGACTGTGGGTCATGACGATGTAACGCACAGGGAATTTGTGGTCAAAATGGTTGAAATTGCGAAAATAGATTCAGAAATATTAATGCAAAAAACAAGTGAAAAACACATGGTATTGCACTGTGCTTCAAAGAGAAATTCACTCAAAAATCAAGCAGCAGAGCCGCCTTGGAAAATTGTCTGGATCCCTCATTGAGGAATTTCTGAGTGAATATTTCTCATCTGGTGAATTACTTGCTGCGGCATAATCATTTGCACGCTGGACTTTCGGCTACCATCTAACAAGTAATCGGTGCCACCGCAGCCGATCGGCAAGTCACATGTGTTGGGGTAAAGTGTGGGTACCCCAACCTCTTCCAAGTTGTCTGGCCAACATGCAAGAGTAAGACAAAATATCCTTGGGAGAGCAGTTGTTCCAAACTTGTGGTCTGCCGACCACTGGTGGTAAAGCTTTCAAGTGGTCTGCGGAATTGTTGCAGATAGTTTTAAGAGAGTACCATATTTATCACATTTTTACAGTTGATAGTGGGGTCCGGTGGGTCCATAAAGGTTTGGAACCACTGCTCTAGAGTCCTCTCTAGTGGAGGCCCTTCTGCCAACAACGGCATGAGCAAGATAATTCAGGCATGCATCTTTAGCATTACCTTTCATTATTTTTCTCACCTGTCCAGGCAGGGCAAGTTTCCCCACATGTAGCAGGTCACCTGCCTGTGCGAGGAGAAAATCTCCACGGGTGGCATCTGAAGGAAAGACAACAGGTGCAGCTCACGAGGATGACAATGGTGATGCCGTATGAAGGAAAAGCTGACATTTTACCAGAATGATGGTAATTTTTGTTATCCAGTCAAGAGCTTCGGGCGATGCGGAGTGAATTTCGGAGATGAGTCCAGGGAATGAGTGACAGTGGAGCGTTGTTCACCACTAGTTCCATTGTTGGAATTGTTCACCACACAGTTGCTCGACACAGCAGGGTGGGTGCAGGTAATGAAGGGAGGTGTGAGGATGGGAACAGTGGCATATTCCACAACTTAAAAAAAACATTCCCACAAATGATGACATATGGGAAGCAGGGTAGGATAGTGGTAACACTTGTGCCTCACAGAAATAAGGGCCTGGGTTCAATTCCCGGCCCAGGCGCCTTTCTGTTTGGAGTTTGTTTATTTTCCCCCTGTCGTGCATGAATTTCCTCTGGGTTCTCTGGTTTCCTCCCAGAGCAAAAAAAAAAGTAACTGGTATTGGCCAAACATCCCAATGCAAATTACTGAATTGGGATTACAAATAGCAGCAAAATAATCCCTTATTGCAAACAAAAAACTTGGCAGGACCCTCTGAAAAAAAGTCCCAGTGAGGCCTCCTGGGTGAAGAAGTCATAATAGTAATGAAATAATAATAATGTATGAGTGCGGCACGGTAGAGGAGAACTTGCTAGGCCTTACTGCCAGGAAGCGTGAGATCTCTTGGTTATTCATGGGGCCACAGAAGCATTCCGCCTCCAGGACCGTGAGCAGCCAGAAGAAGGGCCTGGCACGCGCCTCGTGCTCCCCCGGCCGAGTCATCCGCACCAGGTGGAAGAACTCGTAGAAGAAACGATTCAATGTCTCTGTGGGAAATATTTGAAGAGCGCGCGTGGGGGACGACGTAAGGCTCCGGCTTCATTTCTCACCGAATGTTTTCTGGGTTGCTCGTAAAAGACTGGAGTAAGATGGCATGTGTCCAATAGCCACAGGCATAGTGAGAGGTTTTTGGTTTTTCATATTACGGTTGCTGACCACAGGCCCAAAGGCCCAACATGCCAAGCTGGTAGCAACAAACAGCACAATTGAAGGTGTGATAGATGAGTTAATGCGTTTCTTGAACCGAGCAAGGTTATAAGAATTTATGAAAAAGACGATGCGAGGAGGGAATTCCAAAGTGGAGCAGTGCGAGGAAATGAACAGAAAGTAAAACGAGGGTTGGACACAGTCTGGTAGCCCATGTCCTCAACATGGGTGAAGGAATCAATCAGTGAAGTTCACAGAAACAGCAAGCGTGGTAGTAGTGATAGAAGAGTGAAAGAGAGGTGACTGACAGCCATGAAATGAGTGCTATCCGTGGGGTCGTACCGCCAGTGCCGTCTTCAAGAAGGCAGTGTCCTCCAAGCAACAGCGTGAATGGTCCCCACTGTTGGACCTGCACAGAGCACACAAAACTTTTCACAAACAGCGGCACTCCCCTCTGTCGCACTGTAATTGATAATTTCTGTTATTCATAATAATGGGCGGCTGCCCTGGTTTAATGGTTAGCACACTGGGCTATACTGCTGCTCTATATAAGACCGGGAGCCAGAGCAGAGCCTCGCCATTCTGGCGAATTGCCCGATGATGCTGGATGCAATTACCAGCAAAACGTCGTACTCAAAAATTGTAAATGTTGTGGTTTCACGCTTCAACACACCGGTGGGCTAAAGCAGTGAACTATTTGTCTTTTGTCAACGTGACACTTTTTTACTGATTGGCCGTGTCGGGTGGTGGAGGGTTATGACACATTTATAAATAACGCGATCTAAACCCAAAAACGTTGATTATGAATAATATTGGTCACGAAAGCCTACGTGTTAAACTATACATAGGTAACTCGCATTCAGTTGATTGGCAGATCGCGTGTGCAATGGGGTAAAGTGTGAGTACTCCCATCTCTTCCAGTATCTCTATCCACCGTAGAAGAATAAAGCAGATACCCTCTAGAGCAGGGGTCCCCAACCCCCAGGCCGCGGACCGGTACCGGTCCGTGGCCTGTTAGGAACCGGGCCGCACAGCAGGAGGTGACAGCGGTGAGTCCGCGCGTGGCCCGCCCATCGTTTTATTATTCACCACTTCCGTCCACGCCTCTTTCCCGCAATGCGCACTTGTCTCAGTCACAGTTTTGGTAAGCCCACAAGCTCTAGCCCCGAGCCAAAATGAGTAAAAAAAACAAACGTCGCTGGAGAGCTTCTTTGAAAAGAGGGAAAGACCCAATGATGAACCCCCCCGGTCCATGAAAAAATTGTCTTCCACGAAACCAGTCCCTGGTGCCAAGAAGGTTGGGGACCGTTGCTCTAGAGCAGGGGTCCTCAAACTCTTTAAACAGGGGGCCAGTTCACTGTCCCTCAGACCGTTGGAGGGCCGGACTATAGTTAAAAAAACTATGAACAAATTCCTATGCACACTGCATATATCTTATTTTGAAGTGAAGAAACAAAACGGGAACAAATACAATATTTAAAATGAAGAACAAGTAAAGTTAAATCAACAAACTTTCCAGTATTTCAATGGGAACTATGGGCCTGCTTTTGGCTAATGAGATGGTCAATGTCCGGTTCCATATTTGTCACTGCTAGTCGTAACAAGTGATGCAAGTGTGTATCCGTTAGTCTAGATCTGGTTGGAGATTTCAAATGTTTCATTCTGGTACAAGTCTGTTCACAGACATAAGTGCTGCCAAAGATGGTTGCCATTTTGAGTGCATGGTTCCTGAGATGAGGATATGTCTCAGAGGGGAGAGATGCATAGAAATTATGAAGGCTGCTTGACTTGAATGCGTCTTTCAGAGAGTCACAATTCTGCAGTTCAGCCAGTTCCATTTGGTAAATTGTATCCACATTTTCAATGTCAATAGAAAATGGGTTACGGAAAAGCTGTATGTCCTGTTCATGGAGATGAAGCTCTTTAAATCTAAATTGGAACTCCTTTTGCAATTTTTCCAATGAATCCACACATGTTTTGTTTGGGAATGCAACCAATGGTTTTTCTGCTAACAGATTTTGAGTTGTGGGGAGATGGCAGAAGTTTTCCTCCTACACTTGTTTGATGAGGAGGCCTAATTTTACTTCAAATGCTTTGACATGTGATTGCATATCACAGATGAGCTTCCCCTTTTCTTGAAGTTGCACATTGAAACTGTTGAGTAGCTCTGTTACATCTGTCATAAAGGCAAGGTGCCATTTCCATTCTGCATCATTGAGCTCTGGTACTTCTTTGTTTTTTGAAAGCAGAAAAGCTGTAATCTGTGGAAGTAAGTCATAGAAAGGTTTCAAAACTCTCCCTCGACTCAGCCAACGGACTTCTGTGTGGTACAGAACATCTTCATAGTCAACATTTAGCTCAGACAGAAATTCCTGAAATTGTCTGTGGTTTAGTGCATGAGCTCTAATGAAGTTAACACAAGATACCACAATTTTCATAACAGAGTCCCACTTCAGTGATTTACTACACAGCGCTTGTTGGTGGATGAGGCAGTGTATGGCTATTGGATGAGAATGGTTATGTTTGTCCATCTCTTGGTTAATGCGAGCAATTACTCCTTTCTTAGACCCCACCATGCTAGGAGCACCATCAGTTGTCACACTGGCTAGTTTAGCCCAGTTCAGCTCCAAACCATTCACAGTTTGGCAAACCTTTTCATAGATATCCTCTCCTGTAGTTGTTCCTTTGATGCTTTGCAGTGCAGCAAGCTCTTCTGTGACTTCGAAATAGTCATTCGTCCCACGAATAAAAATTAAAAGTTGTGCAGAATCACGAACATCATTGCTTTCGTCGAGTGCCAACGAAAAATAGGAAAGTTTTTTTGTGGAGTTTTGCAAATGCTGATGCAAATTGTCTCCCATTTCTTCAATCCTCCGTGTAATTGTAGGTCCTGAAAGACTCACTGTACTAAATAAATCGGCCTTCTCTGGACACATCTCTTTGGCAACAGAAAGAAGGCATTCTTTAACAAATTCTCCCTCCACGAATAGTCTGCCAGTGCACGCTATTAGCTTGGCAACTTGAAAACTTGCTCGCAGTGATGAAATATTTAGCTGCTTCTGCTTCACAAAAGTATTTTGCTGAGTTGTTAATGTATTTTATCTTTTCTCACTTCTCCGACCAAACAATCATATTTATCTTTATGTTGAGTTTCATAGTGTCGACGTAAATTGTATTCTTTGAACACAGACACTATATTCTGGCATATCAGACACACAGCTCTTTCCTTGTACTGCATGAAAAAGTAATCATAAGTCCACTGTTCTTTGAATATCCTACACTCCGAGTGCATTTTTCTCTTTCTTGACATCATTGTTTCCTAGGGAGTCAAAATTGATATTAGTAAAATACCAATATATATACAGCGCTACAAAAACAATATACCAGCAATAACTTTGCCCGCACAGAGACATACTGTACAGACTGTACTGCCCATCAATGCAGTCTGATTGGGGGGAACTCCGCCCCCTCTCACTCTTCCACCAATGACCGTCCTTCTCATGCAGAAAAAAAGTAACAGACAGGCAGCGGCGGCAAAAACACCCGGCGGGCCGGATAAATGTTCTCGGCGGGCCGCATGTGGCCCGCGGGCCGTAGTTTGAGGACCCCTGCTCTAGAGGAAGGTCTCTTGAGCTCCCGAGAGCTGTCAAGCTCTCCAGAGCTCCCTCTAGTGGATGCCCTTCTGACAACAGTGGCACAAAGTAATTGCAGGACTGAAACTTTTCTTTATTTAATCAGCTACCCCACGTGCCCTGGATTCATCTTTTTTCCTCCGACGTAAAGTTGACAGGTTGGCCAAGATCGCATTTGGAAAATTACCGAGCAAAGAAAAAAAAAAGAACGAGGGCTCCCCCCAAGGGACTGCCATTCCACTACTGCTGCCCATTGCTGTTGCCCACTACTCACGTGCTTCCCGGTGATGGTGCTCACATCCGTGTGAATAACTTGGCCGCGGTCTATTGTGGGCATCGCCTTCATGCGGTTGTTGCTCAGGCGGCACTGGACATGGCGGGCGATCAAGCCATCGAAGTCTCTCAGAGCGTTGCAGGCTGCGCGGCAACGACGATCGCACGGACCCCAGTTTGCCGTACGCGATGCCGAGGAAGAAGAAATAACAATTTAAACAGACGAACATTCAATTACCAAACCCTGACAATAACCATGTCCTGGTTATTTTTCAGTTTTTTTCCGATTTTTCCTGTATCCCAGTTATTCTTGCTCTGATATCCACTTAGTCGTTTATTTCACACATTTCTAGTATAAATAGCTTAATTCCTGTACTTTATATTATCTTATGCTTTTGCCATTCTTATGACTCGGGTCACTCATGTAAATGAGACTATCCTGGTTCTTTGAGTTCTCACCTGGTTACACAAAATGAACATGAATTTAATAATTGTTATTCATACTGTATTCAATCACCACACTACAGGTCACAACACTTCTCTTCCTGCTTCACCCCTTGTACTGCTCCACTTCGGAACTCCATCTCATCATCTCTTCCCCCTCCCCTAGTCCTTATAATAAACCTGCTCAATTCAACAAATGTGTAGACTCTGTTATCTATTACAGAAACCTCCGTGCAGATGCACCTGTCAAAGGGTGCAACCGTGGTGAAATCACAAAGGTTACGTAAGACGAGTACTGACCTGCGCTGTTATCATCGAAGAGCGTCACCACTCTGACCGCCGCCTTCTTCGCCGGTACCAGCGGTGGGAGGAGTGGGCGAGATTCCTGCCCGAACACACGGACTGGCTAATACAACACACACACCTTGCAAGTGCCACGACACTAATGACTCAATTAAAATGCACGTTGTACGTTTTGTATGTGCACCATTCTTATGTATGTATGTATGTTAAACTTCCTTCCCACCATACGCAGCCAACCGTGCTAATCGGAGGTGAGCATGGTGGGAGATGACAACTTTCACATGGCCCACCTGTCAAGTGTTTTCCAAACACGAACTAATGTCATCAACCTCGGCAGAACCATAACTGAAAGGCTAAGGGCCTTCTCATGGCCATATCAGCAGAGCATAAAACCAAGTCTGCATCTGCCATTGTACAAATTATCCTTATGGCAGTACCCCGGGGTACCAAATAATACAAAATGGCCGAGGCAATTCATTATTTTATTTCTGGGACACTATTTTATTCAGGGGTGTACTTAACTCTGCGACTGGGGCACCAATCAATCCGTAATCAGTGCTACTCCGCGATGTCGAAACTGCGAGGATGATTGCGCTGAAACCCTAAACGCTCGCGGTATGCACCACAGTGCATCGTGTACAGCTCGTTGAGATGAGTCGATTGCCGCAATGGCCGACCATCAACAGACTAAAAATTACTGCATTACGGACATTATGCGAGAGCCGGGGGTACCGCCATAAGGTTCATATGTAGGCTATCACGTAAGCGCTATGTATCACAGACAGGTATAGTTTGCCAGTAGGGAATGATGCCACTGTGATTGTATCCATTCGTGTTAAGTCATTTGACCACAATTGGTCATGTGCTTGGAGAGAAACATCGGAAATCGTGCCGAACAACGCGCAGTACAACCCGAAAAACCGTCGATGAGCTGTACAGCGGAACACGAAAAGCGACGCAGATGCACGATGCAACATATGTTACGACCTACTCTACAATCCGGTGGTTTTGCCGATTGTATTCTCCACATTTTCGCAGAGACGCGAGGCTCAGGCGCAGCGCAGTACAAACTTCGAACAATATTTACCGGCGGTCAATTAAAGTCACGGGGACTAATTTATTTTGCTTCGGCGCATATTTCTCTTCCGTGCCCTCCTCGACTCGGACCATGAAGGCGCCATTAACCTAATGAGCACGCTATAATTACCTATTCTGTGTAATATTTCCTATGCCATGTGACAAAATGTCTATATGGGCACTTTATATCAACCCTGGTGAAGTGATTACAAAGGGACTACAGTTCCATTAACCTCGCATCGTGGTTCCAAATTGCCAATCCAAAGAAACGTCATTACCATTCATCTTTTCGTGCGCACGTGCATTCCATATGTCAACAAGCTTACATTACCCCCGCTTAACTTTTGTTTAACGTTCTTTCGATGAGATACATGAAGAAATAAAATCGGTGAAAATTTGAGAAAAGACGAGGGGACCTCGTAATGACAGCTTGCCTCTGTGTGGCACAACGGGTGACTCAACACCAGCTTGTCTGCCAAAAGGGAGGCGATGATTGCTATGTTGAGTAAGTTGCAGGTGATCTTTTGAATTTGGGAAATTTGGATCACGACAATGCTGCGGATGCCGCCAAAACCTCACTGCAGCTTCCTTCTGTTATGTAATTATAAATAATCAAAATAATTAGGGGCCAGGGGTGTGGAAACATTCCTTAATTAGACCTGGATAGGACCTTTAAATACCTTTGTCACACCACACATTAACACACACCATAACCTAATCCAATAATAACATAAAAAAATAAGAATTCACCTTTGCAGGTGATACAAATGAACAGTGTTGTTGCAAGATCGAAAATATTCCTCAAGTATTGCACTAATGAGTAGGTTACGCAACTTGGAAGTTAGGAATAGAACACAGCAAAAAGAGTTGTAAGTATAATTATGATAATAATCAGGAAACGGAGGCTCCTTTGTGGGCTTATTATGTAGCAAGGGAGAGACCTAAAGCCAGAGGCCGGTATACAAGAAGATCAGACCATGGAGGTCAGATCTCGACTTCGCAACAACTACGATGTTCGAGCAGAAGGAAGCAAATGGAAGTGAATGCTACTACGTCGACAGCATTATCCGCGATGACCCCTCGACCTCAACACTCCAACCCCTGCCTCGTTAGGAGGACTCCCACGTGCTCGTTAACCGCCGGTTGAGGTGGGGGCGGCCTCCGCCCCGGCACGGCTCCAGAAAGACAAAGTGCTGCAGATCGCACCTCTCCGACGGCCCCTTCGTCGGCGATGAGGTCTCGGAGGCGAAGGGCCCAATCGTGGCGGAGGCTCAGCGGACTGCCGTCCTCTAGCGGCCGGCACAGGTAGCACTGCCACAGATGCAAGGCCTTGGCCCTGCGTGCCGTCCCGAGGCCCAGGAGCCGGTCCATGCAGCACGTGCAGAACACCCTAGGTGGGGGGTGCGTAGCATAGAAATACACACACACGTACACACAGGGATTCAATTTACTCGGGTCTATTCCGGCCGGCGACACAGAAAATGGTGATGTACGAGTGTAGCCCCAAATCACCTTTCTTGTGAGCTAATATGACTTTGAAACCCCCCCCGCCCACCTCCTACGCATTTCCCATGAATATGCTAAATTCCTCTTGATATGCACATTATTTTTGTTAAGGCGCTCTTCTTCCACCTCCAACCCAGCTTATATATAAGCTCCTAGCTTGGCAGTGTCTCATTCTTCACCTGAAGACGGCTGCTTGCGTTGTAGCCAAAACGTCGTGATAATTATTTTATTTTTATTATTTTATTACTTCCCTTCTACGTGACTTTACCGAAAGAACCAAGAAGATGAACTCTCTATTCTTGGTTACACTCACAGAACGCTACGACAGACCAGGGACCTATTGTCAATTCTGTCCGTCAAAACGTCCTGTGAGTGCAACCAGGGTTGGAGAGCTCACAAGTGAGTGGGCTACACTCGTACATTACACCTCCACAAGATTATCGTGTCATCCAGCAGACTTCTAAAAACACTAATTTACCTGACAGAAAATGTGTGCATTATCGGCGATTGTGGAGCAAGAGGGGTGGGAACCTACGGACTGCAGCCCGCGGCCCAGATACCACACGCAAAGTTAATTTCACATGACCCAATGGCCACTCAAGATCTACCAGTGACTTAAATGCAGCCGGATCTGTCCGTGTTCGGCAACGTGTAAAATATTTCTGTACCCAAAACACAACATCTGGAATACCTCTCGCTATGGCTGCGGCTATTTGTGATGTGCCTACTCCAGTCTACTACCAGCAACCGGGAAAAAATCATCATAAGTGAGAAAAATTAAGCCCTCCGTACACGTCCAGGATGGCAGCCGACGATCGAGCCTGGCAACACAACGACAGCCAGCAGAGGTGGAAAACAGGGAGATGAAGCGATGAGACGTGTCCACGCACAGGAGCGAGATAGATGTTCCATCACAAGAACGTGTGGAATGGCGCAGCGTGTGGACTCCTTTATCCAGCAGTGAATAAATAGATGGATAGATAATTGCTGCATTTCCGACACCAATGCTGTTGTTTTGCTCACCTCCAGCAGTTGGCGCTCTCACACAGCAGGATCTCCACCCCTCGGCCACAGATGGCGCAGTACGAGTGATATCCATCATCAAACAGGTACACGGAGAGGACGTAATTTACCTAAACGTGGAGGAGACACACACATGTTACCCAGTGGCGAAATAAAGTGGGGCCACGGAGGGTGATGGCATCCCCCACTTGAGACCACGAACATTTGCATTTTATTTATGCTCATTTCGGTTTTTTTCTGATCGATATTGTTTTTAACACAACTGAAAATGTTCCATAAATAAATAATAAATTATGCTTATTAAATCATGTTACCAAATAAAATTAATTGATTTGTTATAATTACTGTTATTAGAAATACTGGGCCCTACATAAAAAGCTTGATATTTTAGGATCTCTCCACCCCCCTTGGGAATTGTCTACATCTGTCTCTGATGTCACTGCACGTCCATCCGTCCGTCCATCTGTGCGGTTTCTGCAACTCACACAGCCACACCTGACCAAGTCGACTGAAGTATGGTTAAAAACATATCCCCATCCATCAAGAAGAAGATTGACAAAGGGCTGTACACTTACACACGCGTATGTAAGTATGCCCAGTGTTCAGCGTGTGCTGCGGACTGGTAATGGGTGCGTTCACCTTGCAGCTGAGACACAGGCTGCCAGGGAAGAGCGGGTGCTGAGTGACCACCTTGTCACTGGCGCAGGCCAAGCACAGCTCTGACCCAGACAACAGAGATCATCGTCAAACAAGATTCTCGACAGATTCCAGAGATCACAAATACTCGCATTCATCAACTAACACTGCCCTAAAGAGGAAAAAAAACAGCTAATATTCAGCAGGCAATACCCTCTTCTCTAATTAAGCATCGCAAAAATGTGCATGTGAAAAAAGCCAAGCAACTTGCACACGTGCAGTTCGGAATATTAGGCAGTCTAATGGTGAATATGTGAAAATCATCCTTATAATATAAATGAGGTACTTATTTATAGGTTCATGAAGCATATTCTTAGGTTTTATCCGGTAAAGTCACGTAGGTAAAACATAAAAGTTAATAAAAATAAAATAAAATAAAAATCACGACGTTTCGGAGGCAACACAAGTCTCCGTCATCAGGTGGGACCGTCACAGCCAGATTTGCTGCACCAAGTGAGGCAAGGATTCAAGATATAATCCCTTAAATGCAAGTTGAGGGGGGAGGAGAGGGGGGGGGAGCTCATCAGAATGTGGTAGCCAATGAAAAAACCTAAGAATATGAATCCTTGCAGTCACGAAAGCTTCAAATCTAGAATTTATGAAGCATGTTTTTTTCCCTACATGAAAGAGATTTGACACACACACACACCCTCAAAACTGAGTGCACCATTACCATCCTAGCATGGATGAAAAAGTCAGTTTATCCAAGTCCGACACCGTGGTATTTATGAATTATTTAGTATTGATGGATGTATTGAGTGCTTTTGGTATTTGAGCATTTCTCCCTTATTGAGTTGGACAAATTATTTCTATCCAAGAGTCCTCATTGATTGACATATTACACCCAAGTAATATAATTACACAAATTATTACCCACATCTTTTATTCATCTAATTTACATTTGCAACAACACAAACGTAAAAAATAGAACCAGAAATTAAGGCATCGCCACGCACGGTACAGACAAATTAACTTAAAGAAAACAAATTTTGATTTAAAGCTTTCGTAACTGCAGAGATTCATATTCTTGGTTCTTTCGGAAATAAAATAATAAGAAAACAAATAGGCAGGAAAGAAAACGAGAGGGGAAGACAAAAGGAGATTAAGAAAGGTTTTTTTTTATTTTACCAGCAATGGCCCACTGAACTATGTAGCTCTTTTTCAGAAGTGACCTGGCCACAAATGATAGCTCAATAAAGTGGGTATCATGTGGAAATGTATAGCAGCCAAATACTCAACGTATGTTGGATTCTAAATGTGGAGGAAAAAATAGGAAGGACCCGAAGAAAAATCCACACGACCACAGGAAGAACATTCAAACTCTAAATATACAGGTGTCAGGGTTGAGATCAAACCCACAACCTCCTGTATACCAGGAAAGGTAGTTAACATCTCACCACCGAGGGGAGTACACAACGGGACTCCCCACATATTTAATGTGTCATGTACATCTACACGTATGTACAGATGCTGGAACTGCTCACTTGTGTTATATTTAGTGAAGGGACGCAGAGCAAGCGCTGCTGTTTGAAGGAGCGAGCTGTGTTCCCCAGGTCGTCACTTCCATTCACTGGCAGTACGGTCGCTCCACCTGTCGGCACGCAGGAGAGCACACCGGACGGCACACGGGACGGCACAGAGGTTCCCTCTGCTGGACCAGTAGACAAAATCCAGGGTGCATATGGCGTAGAAGTGTAACGGTTCATCGATTCACCGATCAACATATTTAAGCTCACTATACGTGCATCCGGGTGGAGCGGTGGTGCAGTGGTTCACGCACTACGCTTCTGAGTTTCATTCCTGACCATTGCTAACATCAGTGACGAGTGAAATATGAATGGCACCGTCTACCCCGCTGTCCCGTCTGTCACCAGCCCGTGCTCATCAGCGTGGTGATGTGTGGTAAAACAATCTCCATGACCAACACGATGTAGTAGCAAGGGCTTTATTCGGCAAAAAGCTCTAAATTATAAGTTGTATTTTTTACGAGAAAATAAACCCACAAAATGGTCACATTATAAAGAGAAAATTAATTTTAACCTCTAGACTGTGGTTACTCAACTTTAAAACAACCAAGGTAACGGGGCGAGAGGTGGCCTTGGAAAAAGACAGATAATTAAAAACACGTACGTTATTATTGTTAATTATTTACCGAAGTAGAATTCACCACCTGTTTTAATTGTTTTGTAAAGTTATCGTCACTGAGTCACGAGTGAGGAGCAGCAGCTAATAATAAAACCAGTGCGGGTTAGAAGGCGCTCATGACATTGGAAACCAATATTTCTCATTATTTTTTTATAAACAAACACAATTAATCCGTAACCCTGATGATCAACACTCGGATAATGGAGAGGTCGCAGTATCCCGAGAGGTTGGCGCCTTCACCTGCTGATGGGCACGGTCGTCCTGCCAACAACGACACGCTTTTCTCTTCCACTCCGTTCACGGGCGGTCGGGAAAGGGTCGCAGTTTGGAGAGGATTCCCACGACCGCACGACGCATCGCCAACTACCGGTGCCTAACGCATCAACAAAAAAATACATACCACCGATATCACACGGGACCTCACAATTAAGGTATTTAAACACTTAGGCTTACATGGAGCAGTACTGCTGATTGTCCTTGGTCAAGTGACAGTGAATGGTAAACATCTGCAACAGTTTCATTGCACGTATATTATGGGAGACACATTGGCCTTCCTGGAGCCGTGAGATTGTGAATGAGGCACTTAAAATGAAGCCAATGAGATGCCCTAACTCCAAGCCAAACCCTAACTCCAAACCAAACTCTACCTCTATTTCTGAGAAGCATAAACCCTACTTTAAACATTGTTTATTGTGATACGTTGCAGTTAAAAGACAAATGGGGTACCAGTTTGGATGTTTCATGGTACAGCTTAATAAGTCTTTTTTTTACTGCTGAATACAGCTCACAGTCTTCACAGAAAGAAATAAACACAGCGATCTCGTTCATTCACTCCCTACCCAATCACCCGCAATGCGCCCATCTCGAAACCTAAGCAAGGTTAAGCCTGGATAGTGCTTGGATGGGCAGCCACCATGCACAAAACAGATGTTGCAGGCTGCTGCCGGGCTACTTTGTGGGTAGTAGACAGTGCAACAAAATGCATTGTTGTACTCCACTTTGCTCCTGTGTCTATGCTCCCCACCTTTACCGACCCATACTAATTAGTGTGGTGAGGTTTGGTCTTTCTGGTGATAAGAAACAAAATATGGCTTTATGGGCGAGTGACCAGGATGGCTGCCAAGGACTCAAAGCTGTGAGTGCCACTGAAAATGTACGAGTACATATGAATCTAGATTTGAAGTACACATCACTTTATAGTTTTTACACAATTACAACACATGCATCAAAGCCTCTTCTAAATTGAGAAATTATGAACCATCTCGTGAAAAAGAAACTGACTCAACCAGAGTAAAAAAAAGATACTTAAACATGTGTTGACACTTTCCTGGGCAAAGATTTAAAAAATAACCCCATGCTCTCTTTTGGCTGCAGAGGGAGCTGCCTGCTCACAATAACCAAACACGGACACTCCAGGGCGGTATTTCTCAACTCCAGCCACAACCATTGCGAGAGGATTCCTGGATGTGGTGTGTCAGTTGTTTAAATATTTTCCAGGTCACCAACCCAGACAGACTTGGCTGAATTTCATCCCTAGTTTGCACACATTAAGCATAGTAGAGTACAATTATGGATTGTGAGCTTAAGAATCAAGTTTATTTCCTGAATCATAACGGACAGCCACTGGCGGAATCCAGAGCCAGTGCTCTCAGTGCATGAATATCCACCCCAATGTCACCACACAGCCAGAACGGAGAGCCAATCCATTCCGGATTGTGGTTCATGACCCCATTTCCCCTCAAACATCTGCCAGAACCCTGTGTTCCTGATCCCCTTTAAGTGGCGATGGGTCAGAGGCTATCAAAGCTGACAAAACTCCCGTGTGAAAAATCAGAGGTCCCAGCAGGTGGCTGTGTTTTCACCGCAGTGTGAACAGTGTGTGTGTGTGGTGGTGGTGGTAGCGCATGGCTGTGATCCAGCGCTTTAGAAACAAATAGACAATGGGCTCAGGCCAAATAATTTACTTGTTGGCACCACAAAATAACAGCACGACTTAAAAATTATACAAAAGATAAATGGTCCTTATTAATTTTGTTGTCAAATCATAGTCAAGTGGGAACATGCCTGAATTCGATCCTGCATCAGGGCCTTGGGGTCTTCAGAACCGCATGGCTTTGGGGCGTCTCGCTGCTTGGCTATAGAAGACCGAGGCTCCACATGCCTTACTCCGAACCAGCGTTGAGATGCAATCTGTACAGCATTACCTTGCTCACCCATTGCATCTGATTGGGAAACAAGAAATAATCAAGCACACGCATGGATTGTATAACACTGTCCATACACGCGTTTGTCTTTGTTAGTGTTTCGTTGCTAATGATAATAATGGTCGCGCTCACACCAACCACGCAGGAAGCAGTACGTCCGTGGACCATGATGAGACACGGGGCTCGGATAGCAGCTCTGCCGGGGTGGGCGCGCCTCAGGCAGCAGGGCCGGAACGGTGAGGTGAAACCTTTTCGCAGTGGTTTGTGTCTGCATGTTTTGGGAAACCCTTTTTGATAAATTTGACCGTTTTTAGAAAGGGTAAGTCCCTAGCAGCAACATAAAGCTATATTCAAGTTTGGTTCACATTGGATCACCTTAACGGATCATCGTGCCCCCCCCTCTTTACCAGAAGGTTTAGTTTAACAGAGTAAATGCAAAACATGCCAATAATTTTTTTAAGGTTTCGTCGGCTTACAGGAGCCACTCAATGAAGATGAAAAGTCCCTTGCAGGGAGAAAGATTTTAGCATAATTGTATTCCAAATGTTCGTGTGTCGGGAGAAAGAAAACAAGGGAGAAAATTAAAGATCAGGTGACAGATGGCAGGCCATCGTTACGCGGTAATTTACAGGAATTGAACCGCCTCAAGCAACTCGGCATCGGCCGAGGCAGGTGAATGTACACACGTTTACACAGTACGCTAATGGTGGCTTCAGCCCAGGTCTCAAATCTGAAATCATTGTATATGAAGTTGATCATCGATTATCCGGCACTGGATTGTCCAGCTTTCAACATTATCCGGCGGTCCCGGCCTGATCGGGCGAAAACAGACAAAACCGCTCCAAAGGCTGTACCAGTCTGGGGATCGACAGTGTGTGAAAAAAAAAGTGGCCAAGCTTGATTTCAGTGTCAAATATTATATACACTACATACAACTTAAACAATGAAAATACTGCGTATTTATACATTTTTCATGACTAATAACTACAATAAAGCTGAAAAAATACGGTGCGATCCAACGTGCAATTCGGCGTACCGGTCTGAAGGCTGCATCATTCCGGTGATCGTCAAACACACGTTGTTGAAACAAGAGCGCAGTACATTACATCACGCCATTCAGTCGAGATTGGAGTGGCAAGTACAGTACAGTAGCTTTTTACAGGATATTTATTCGTCTATTTATGTTTATGCCAATTTTATATAGTAACCAAATTTAAAACTCTAAAAAGCATATGCACAACACCTAAAACATGTTATACAAGAATGTGCAAAAATAAGCTATTTAAAATAATGATGCGATACGGCGCTGAAAAATCAATGATCTACTGTTGTGCTTTTTTAGTTATTTTTACACATTGCATGAAACATTTGAGAATTTTGTTTAGTAGACCTGGTGCAGCTAAATCCAAAATCCGCTAGCTGGGATTTTACTGTACGAATGAAATGAAATTCAAGGCGAGAGCGCTGGTTGGCGCAGGGGAAGATGTGAAGCGCTATATTCGTGATTTTGCAGAAGTGACGCAGATGTGGTTATCACTGTTGTTTTTTCTGCAAAAATGCATTTACAGGTGTGTGAAAGTGCACGTACGTTGTTAATGCATGGCATGGGACCTGTTTATTGAAATTAAGGCCTGCCTTTTGCTATCAAGGGTTATTTTTCTTGGGTCAATTCAGGGTTAGACAAAGTCACTTATAATCCCTTGATCAATCTCTTTGGCAGGTGCCCCTAGGCTGAGATCGTCACTCCACATTCCCCTCATTCCTTCCCCCATCAAGTGTTTAGGAAGGGATGCAAGACTCCCTACTTCCTCATTGCTTTCCCTTAAGTGCATTTGTCATTCCGCAATGTAACTAATTTTACCTTTTAAATTTCTTGTACGGTTTTGTAACCCCCTTGATTGGGGTGATATTACATATCAAATAAAACCTTTAAAGAACACCTTTGTAGCTCAGCCAAGGTTACAGTTGCAATGAGACCGTGATGCACGGCAGATGCGTGGGGAAGCATTTGTCCATCAGTGGATAGATCACAGTTGATGGTGGTAATGAAAATAAATAACAGGGTTGTTCACACAGCCATCAGGCGACTTCTCAGTATGCGAGGAAATGCGATGTCCACATGTCCTCTGTTTGTCGACACTTCACGTAACTTCAATAAAACTACCAAAACCTCTGAAATCAAGATGCGGAACTTACCACACGGCTCACCAGAAATTGCCCCAGTGCCCAGATCTGTTGTTTTTGGACAAGATTGGCAATAAAAAACTGTTAGAAAAGAAACATGTTTTATAAGACAAAGAAATTATCATCCACAAAAGGGTGATGTCATATTCCGCTGCAAACGTAACAGGACTCCGTTACGCTGCCATCAGCTGGTTAGCGTGTGCCAGGGTGAGTTGGGAGATGATCGCATCCTATATATTCAAGTGATCTGGGGGGTTTGGGGGATGATTCGGTCCAAGGGCTGCCGGAGGGAGGGATGGCATGAGGGAAGATGACGCACGCTTAGGGAATGGTGGAGGGCACACGGAAGTGGACAGTTGGAAGTACTGTGGAGTAAATCTATCATGAAGCACTCCAACTCATTGCCTGTTTCCATTGCGATTGAAACAGAAACATTCGTAATTCACATGTTGCTACAATGAATCACCGAAATACACACGACTTTTTAGAAAACTCACGCAATTAATCTTTCTGTGCATACTTTTATCTAAAACAAGTTTGGTGAATAAAACTCAACCACGTATGGTTTATCAAAAAAAAGTTGATCATAACAGTTTCACATGTAGGCTTTCGCGACCAATATTATTCATAATATAGGTTTTTGGGTTAGATCGCATTACTTATGTGTCGCAACCCTACACCACCCTACACGGCCAATCAGTAAAAAATGTGTCACGTTGACAAAAGACAAATAGTTCACTACTATTCTGGCAAATTGCCCAATGCTGGATGTAATTACCAGCGTCCACTCAAAAATTGTAAATGTTGTGGATTCACTCAACACACCGGTGAGCTAAAGTAGTGAACTTTTTGTCAACATGACATATTTTTTACCAATTGGCCGTGTTGGGTGGAGGGCTGCGACACATTTATAAATAACACGATCTAACCCAAAAACATTCTTATTTTGATCATAACAGTTAATTAAATTAGATGTGTAGGTTTTATCGGTTGGGCAGCATCACTCTCGGATGTGGTTTTGTGCGATACAGCGTGTTGTTCGGCCTGACGCTTTGCTCCGCATGCTGAAAGCTTGTCCAAGAACTTAAGTTAGCTCACCAATATGGAATATATAGCATTGCCAGCTGCAGCTGGTGTCTGATGTAAGTCAGCCAATCAAGGAAATAATTCACCGAGATATATCAGGGGAAACACGGCGATCTTTAGATATTAGGTTGTTAAAATTATGTACACATTTTTTATCTATGATCATGATAAACTATTTGGACAAACCTATGTCATTTACAAGGGTAACTTGGTAGGTAATAGAGTACAGCAATTACAGAAGAAAACATCAACTATTAAACATGTTAACAAAAAGCATGCACACGCATGGAATATGTAATGCTTTTCAATGCACGTTTGTCTTCCCAAGTATTGAATTAGTAGTATGAAAGTTAACGGGTAGCTGTCAAGATGAATGCATTAATATACTTCACAAGTCCTTTTTGCTCTGGTTTGGGTCTCCAAGTAAAAAGAAAATATTTGATCAATGTGGAAGGTTTTCAATAGAATAAGTCCCTAAATTCAAACTTTATCCATTAAGTTTTGTTAATATTAATCTTTTGGAACCAGTGCACCTTCACCCGTTACTGACAGAAATAGCTAATGTGCAAACAACTTGAGGCATAGCTGGAAAGTGTTTAAAACATTTTTAAAATTTTGCAAAATAAAATAATCGATAAAAAGAGGGAATTGATGAAAACGATTATCGTTGCTCATTTGCCACTAAAGCCTAAAACCCCCTTGCCTGCTACAGAAACTGGGAAACTCAACAGATGTTGAATCAGGGCATCAGCTGGTGAGATAGATGATGGGCACGTTGGGGCCACATGCACGCGCGAATGAGTCAATGTTGACTTAACTGGTCCTGCGAAACAGTCGCCATTAAGTAAAAAAAATATTCGCTGCCTGATGTCAAAGAGGGCCCATTGCTGCTTGTGCAAACTAACTGCCAAACCGCAAATCAATTGATTCCGTAGAATTTTAGCCCACAGGTTTTAAAGTCTGCAGGCACACTTTGTGTGATATACATGTACAAGCACTGATTCATTAGATTATTTTGAGTTTAAAGTTAATTTTAACTATAACCCTCCACCACCCGACAGAGCCAATCAAATCAATGTCTCAAAAGCAAAGGGCAATGTTTTTTTCTTTCAGAAAACCTAAATAAAAAGCAAGCACATTTTTTAGTTTCTTTTACGTTTCGCTGGAGATTACATGATCAGATGTTAACACAAGCTCAACTCTTGTGTAAAAGAAGTGTTCCCGATCCAGGTTCGTAAGTAGGTGCCATCACATGAGGACAGGCACGCAGGCAAACCAGTTGAATGTTGGTTGACTGGTTGTGATTGCATGTTAGATTAATGTAAGGTGAATCTATTTACTGTTTGGTTAATTATAAAGATGGACACTTAATGCTATTGTGACTCTAGTTAATAATTAATTGGCTAATTACATGTTTTTGGTGATTAACATTCAGAAATCAGTGATACAGGTTGAAGATTGTCGGTACTGTTATAATAAATTATCAATTGATTTAATCTAAACAGCTACTTGTTTAATGTAATTATGAATTTAGTTAAGTGTTCAGCTGGCACGACGGCGTTAGTACAATGATTTTAGTAATGAAGGGGCTATTGAAGCGATTATGAATGTAGTTAAATATTATATATTGCCAAAGAAATTGGCATCATGAGTCTCATTGTTTATTCATGTTTCCATTTAACCGTCAGGTAGTGGAGGGTTCGACTTAAAAATCGAAATACTTACACGACCTAACCCAAAAGAAACGACGAATCATATTATATTCTTGGTTCTTTCGGTAAAGTCACGTAGAAGGGAAATAATAAAATGATAGAAATATAAAACAATAAAAATTCTCACGTTTCGACTGCAACATAAGCAATCATCATCAGGTGTGAAATCCACAGCAAGACTTTTTTCAAATTTTCTTACCGAAAGAACCAAGAATATGAATCCCTGCAGTCACGAAAGCTTTAAATCAAGATGAATCACATTGTTCGTGAAATCCTACATATATGTTTACAAATATAAGAGCACTGCCTGCGCATCAGCGTGGTATATAACGCGATATGGATTGTTTACCAATTACACTTTCTGGCCTACTTTCCATCTACATTGCTATGGTGAGGATGAAGTCTATCCATTGCAAGACGCCTGATCGTGAACATGAATAAAGATGATATGACTATTTGGCATGTTAACAATACCAACACGAATGGCAAATCAATATCAACAATATATCAAAATCAACAATATCAATACATGTATACATGCTACCAAGACAGCTGGACTATTTTACAACCACAAATGAAGCCACAATAGAACAAGCAAAACAGCCACAATTAAAACCACATAGCCACAACTACCAGACTGTAACCACATAATCACCATAACAAGTTTTTACACATTATAATCACCACATAACCACACAGCCAGAATCTCAGACATAACCACAAAAAACATGATAAGCACACCACATAGCTACAACAATATAACCACATTACAACCACCATAACCACATTGTAACCACAACATTGTAACCACATCCCCAATGTAACCACAACTACCATATTAGCCACTACCATACCCACATTACCTCATTAAACCCATAATCAATACTACTTGGATACACACCATAAACGCATTACACCCAAGCACATGGGTCAGAATTTAACCACAATAGCGGCAAAGCAACCACAACTGTAACCACATTATAGTTTGAACCACAACTGTAACCACATTATAGTTTGAACCACAGCATTATAATCACAACCACAACTAACCCCGTTATAACCACAACCGAAGACATCCGCAATTATAACCACAACCACAGCAACCACTATCGCAGTTAAAACGACAATAACCACAACCACGGCGCGCCAGATGGAAGATGGCGCGGAGGAGAGTTTCCCGCCAAACGAGGACTGTACCAACTCGACCTGACCGCGTTGCGCTAGGAGGGGTGTCTGACGTGGGACAAGTGATTTTTTAACACTTTTATTTTGCCCGTTTCAGCAAGTTCGTTTCAAATGTTAAAACAAATGCTTTTGCATGTTTGTTATTTTAATATTTTCACACTTTTATATTTCTTGTCCTCGGCGAGAGATATATTACATAAGTTTAGTTTTAATGGGTTTGCTCCTCAGACGTACACACTTGGTAGCTCCCAGAGCGTCACAGATTGAACTGACAAATCAGAAATGTATTCTGTCGATATATAGAATTCAATTATATTCTAGATAATACTTAAACAGAATTGTCTCATTAAACACGAACGTTTTTGCAGTTGCTTGTAATCCAAGTGATTATGTGCGAGAATATTAGTTACATTTAGTAAGCTCCTGAACATGCCCCGACTTAACCACTCCTGGATGATGCATTTTCTCACACTGTTTAAGAATGCGCGCGTGATGTTTCCTTTGTCGTTGTACTTCAATTAAACATTTGCATTTGTATCCCACGGTTCATTTACAACTCTACAGGCTCTGTGTTAACCTCGCCTCATACGCCTGCTGGGGTTTCTCTGGGAAGAGTAGGCCAATGGTGTCCGTCTGGCCCCCCCAGAAAAAAATGTAATTTGAAAACTAATTTCCTGCCTAAAATATTACAAAATTCACTAACACATAGGATGGACTTTTTTTTTAAAACAATAATGTCTAATAGTGTATTGTATTACATTGCTCTGTTTTTTTCTTTTTTACCATTTCTTATTTCATTGTATGTAATGTCAGCGATTAGGGATTAATAAAGTACAACCATAACCGCAATCGCATAAACAAAAATCTAGTTTATAGCAATATTTTGAGCATATTTGAATATTGGGGGGGGGGGGTGTGTGCCCCCCAATATTTATTATAATTATGGACTTGAGAGGAGGTCTAGCATAGAATCGCCACTTCTCTTCCGTCCTTTAAACATTCCGCAAAATGCATTGACCAATTATCCCTGTTATAAATAATATATGCCGTAAGTACATAAAAATCGATAGACAGTAGTATTGATATTCTTGGTTCCTTCTACGTGACTTTACCGAAAGAACCAAGAATATGAATCTCTGCAGTCACGAAAGCTTTAAATCGATAGATAGTATTATTGTTGTTTACATTGAACTCAATTGGATGTACATCCTCTTGTGCATAAACCGCTTGCCTGAAGGCCTTTTTCCCGTGCCCTGTTTTGGTCATGCGGTTTGTTTTGACCATACTTCACCATGCTGGTGCAGGTTGGTGAATCAATCGGATGGGGGGGGGGGGGGGTTGAAGTAGGGTCACATATCACTCGCCACTAATCCTTGCTCTGGCCCTGAATCCGTAGAGCATTGAGCGCGCTACTAAACCACTGTGCCCATCGCTCCACCACGTACAAGTAAATAAACAGCACACCATGACTGCTGTTATCATCGTGACTGCGGCATTTACGGATGGAATTCCCTCGCGTTAGCCATCCACAACTGGTCTAAGCCTCCCAAGGTTTCAGAATTGTGTCCACATCCAAACAACCCACGGTCGTTATCACTGCACGAGCAAAGACGTCGCACTAACCCCCCTCTCTCCTTCCACCACCACCATCACCACCCCCCAACTCACCCTCCTCTCCTTTGCACAAAAAAGCCCTCCGACTGTGTCATTCATTCTCAGAAATGTGCCGGCGTGTGCAGTGCGTCTGTTCACTGGACAATGATTTACTTTGTGCTGAGCTGCAATTTAAGACTCCTGCAATAAGCCAATGAGAATTGCCAGTTTTCCGGGTTGTAGGGGAGAAGGGCTGCTACATTGAACGTCGAAATCGACTTCACTGGCCGCGTTTAAAGTCTCTTGCAAAGGGCCTTGTGTTGGTCGCGCGCCGTGGGTCAGCGCACTGTGCTCTAAACCCATGTTCGTGATTGCCGGCCACGGTGTAACATCGGTGCCGAGTGATATCTGAAGCCCTCCTGAGCCTCTCCGACTTCACCCAAACCGCACTTACCGGCATGGTGAAGTTATGGCCAAACAACCAAAATATAACCCCCATGGCCAATGCGGTATGGGGGGCAGCCTACACGCAACAGTGCATTGGCAATTCGCTGCTAATTTATGGATATATTCTCTTGCAATTAATTAAGCTTTGCTATAATTAAAAGGGGAACCCAACATGTGCGTTTCCGCTCGTGAGAGCTTCGGGGACTCCCTCAATGATTGCCCTAACGAACCAATGCCCTCCCCGCGCTCAAAGTGTATCTCGCTGTTATAATCGATTCGTCGACACGCAGCGGAGAGAGCAGAGCAAGGCGGCACCCCGCGGACACGAGTCTGAAGTTGGGAAGACCGGCCCCAAAATGATGCCGGACCTCGAAGGCAAGAGTCGGATAAGGAAGCGACCCCCTCCCTCTCACCGGCGCGGTGGCTGATGCGTACATAAATAACACCAATGATAAATTTGGAATAAATAATAAATATTTGCGCTCACCGCGAATAACCGGCGCTGTGTGTGCGTAAATGAAAGTGAGATGGACCGAAAAGTCGTGGGTTTGGGGGGGGGCGTTGCATGTGGCCTCACGCACGCGGCTTGTGTGTATGTGTGTGTATGTGTTCCATCGCTCATATCGATGTGGCGGTGTCAAAGAGTGTTGTGCGGCGAGACTACGTGGGTGTTGATGATGGGGGGTGATGGAGGACGGGGGAGGACGGGGTGTTTCGGGGAGGAGCGGGCAGAGTTTGGGGGGGGGGGGGGTGCGGAGAGGGATGTTTGACCCCAGGGGAGGCCGCCTCAAATGTCTGCCCCTACTCCGCTCCGTCTCCCTGCGGCCGTCCGTATATTTCAATTAGGGAAGAGGTGCCGAGCTGCCAACATAAATTACTGGCCATAAAAGTCGCGGGGAATATTTATTACTCTTAAATAATTGATATAGTTTCTGGGGCAGTATATTTTTGCTCTCTCTCTCGCTCTCTCTCTCTCTCCACTCACAACTGACTCCTCTGTCTCCTGCCGGAGGCTCCGGCACCCAGCAAGTCCCATCATCCACTTCCCCACCCGCCTCCTCCTGCCCCCGTGCGTGTTCTTGTCTGGGTGACATATGCGTGTGTTTGTGCTCTACTGCAGGTGGCCATGCACTTAGCTGGGGGGGTGGCGTGGGGGGTGTAGGGGGGGCAGGCGTTGGGGTGGGAGAGTGTGTGCAACGCCCACAACAAACAAAGGAAGTCATACACGTGAATCGATGTAGTGTCTTTATTTGTCTTGTGGCGGTAATGTTATGTAATTGCGCCGCGCTTTTAATCTTAACCTGTCAAGTAAAAAAAAACCGCCGCTGAATGACCTGTTTGTTTCGGTAACAAACTGTGCCACTTTGTTTAAATGTACCGCCGGCAATATTTGCCCGGATAAAGTGTGAAAGTGTCCGCAATATAACTATATAACTCCTTATCATCACCACCACCACCAGCCATCATCAGCCCACTGCTGAATGAATGCGGCGGATTTAAAGGGACGACATAACGTATTAACTTTATTTAACAATTCATCTATTTAAAGTGATTACGCACATCACGACTGGTTCCTCACGAGACGGGATTGCTGCTCTGGGATAGAGAAAGATAAACCCATTAAATGCCGCTTCTTGAGACAGCTAGGGATGTCTCTAAGTCTCGATAATGAAAGTATGAAGGTTTGGCATTGATTGGACCGGAACCTAAAGTGGACATGCCTTTAACTCTGATATCCCTGTGCATCCGCTAACTCCTAACACTTCCGTTTCCAGAGCCCTCACAGACATTGATGATCAAGTACTAATCTGAGATACATATACTATATATACGATTGAAAACTAGAAAGTACAAATTACCCACTGTGACTTGTGGGTAATAAAAATGGACACTGACAATGAAAATGTACAAATACGCTAAATAAGCATGGAGAGGATGATTTTTTGGAAATATTCCGAAAACCCGGAAGAGGAACCCACGGATAAGATAGCATACATTTATCGACATCATATTTATTGTTGATAACGTTATTGGGCTTGTGCAGGACGCATCACTGATTTCCAATGAACGAGACTGGTGACAGAATGGCAGCCAAACGAGTGAACGTACCCTCGTGGAGGACCGCCATGGAGATGGGGAAATACGATCAGTTCCTGTGCAGGAGTGAGGTGGATTTTGGCACCGCAGCACCATGAGTGATAACGGCGGCCGTGGGGAGGCCTTCATCCAGCAGTGCATAGATCACGGCTGATGATGGTGATACATTGGTGGGTCACTTCTCTGTGAACCCGTCGTGACTTACACGAGCGCACTCATCACCCGACGGGACGTACGAAATGTCAGCCCTCGGGCAAACCTGGTGGTCTGGTTGTGACGCGGCTCACTCACAAACATGACCCACCCCCCACTGCTCCCTCGCTCACTCACTCCCCAGCCACACTCGCAGATGGGCTCGTGTGTGAATTGACTTATGACCAGGACGAAAACTGTCTTCCTCCCCTCCACAATATCCTCCCTCCTCCACTCACCCCCCTCTCTCTTATACCGTTTCCGACCAAACCAAACATCCTAGAACGCCTCCCTCTCCTCCACAAGTCTCTTCCCCGTTCCCTTCTCTCCAGCTTTTCCCACCAAATCACCACCACCGGCTATCCGACACCTATCCTCCACAATTCCTCTCCGCCTCCCTCCTGGAAACCTTCCTACAACCTCCTTCTCCTCCACAATTCTTCCCCTCCCCCCACACGCTCCGGCACTCACCTCCCCGTCTAAATCCACCTCCCCACACCAACCCACCACCACCAGCCATCCTATTTCTTCCCACCTCCCCACACCAACCCACCTCCCCACACCAACCCACCTCCCCACACCAACCCACCTCCCCACACCAACCCACCACCACCAGCCATCCTATTTCTTCCCACCTCCCCCCCGGCCCACCGCGCAACC